CACATTCTAGTACCAAGGTCATATGGTGCATGGCATATGATGTCATGTTGAAGTACGCGGTGAACTGCGTTATTATTAAAATAAAATTTAAATGACGTGTTTTAGAGATTGGAGCCATTAATGTGTTTATTGCAATGTCTGTTCAGGGAAACAATGTAGTTGACGGGAATTTCCTCACAGATTTCGTTAATGAGTTAATTGTACTGCCTGTCCGTGTAAAAAAAGTAAGTAACTTGAATTACCGCACATATTTAATTAATACTTTTTTTGTAATGTCTGTCCGTGGAAACAATTTTGTTAACGTGAATTTCCGCACCAATTTAATTAAAGAGTTTAGCTGGATCGAAACGTTCAAGTGAAATTGAAATAGCTAGAAATCTAATTTTTAAAAAAATATATCTATTTGTAGATAATAGTTAAGTTGTACTAGATGATTTGTTTAAACAAACAAGTAGAAGAAGAAATGAATGCGTTAATAAATTTACATTTTTTTTCTTAAAGCTTTATTACATCACTGTGTTAGCAAAAAATGGGGTGCGATGCAGAGACCCTATTCCACCCCCGGGGAGGGGGAGGCGCTTCCAAAATTCCATGCCAATGATGTCTGATAGTTTAACTAGTGCTACGTGACGTCAAGTATTCATCCTGAACTTACATTCTGAAAAAAATTTACTAGGTATGGATATAAATATGACACATTTTAAATATGAAACTTAAAAGAAAATAAAACATCGCAAATTTTAAATATGTCCTTGTCCAAAGTGCTTGTCTAAAACAAATGATGAGCTCAGATGTCTCACTAAAACACGTGATGAGCTCAGATGTCTCACTAAAACAAGTGATGGCAAACGATCTCGCAAAACATGTGATGAGCTAAGATTTCTCAATAAAAACATGATGACAAAAGATGTCACACTGAATCATGTGATGAGCTAAGATTTCTCAATAAAAACATGATGACAAAAGATGTCACACTGAATCATGTGATGAGTTAAGATTTCTCAATAAAAACATGATGACAAAAGATGTCACACTGAATCATGTGATGAGCTAAGATTTCTCAATAAAAACATGATGACAAAAGATGTCACGCTGAATCATGTGATGAACTAAGATTTCTCAATAAAAACATGATGACAAAAGATGTCACACTGAATCATGTGATGAGCTAAGATTTCTCAATAAAAACATGATGACAAAAGATGTCACACTGAATCATGTGATGAGCTAAGATTTCTCAATAAAAACATGATGACAAAAGATGTCACACTGAATCATGTGATGAGCTAAGATTTATTAATAAAAACATGATGACAAAAGATGTCACACTGAATCATGTGATGAGCTAAGATTTCTCAATAAAAACATGATGACAAAAGATGTCACACTGAATCACGTGATGAGCTAAAATTTATTAATAAAAACATGATGACAAAAGATGTCACACTGAATCATGTGATGAGCTAAGATTTCTCAATAAAAACATGATGACAAAAGATGTCACGCTGAATCATGTGATGAACTAAGATTTCTCAATAGAAACATGATGACAAAAGATGTCACACTGAATCACGTGATGAGCTAAAATTTATTAATAAAAACATGATGACAAAAGATGTCACACTGAATCATGTGATGAGCTAAGATTTCTCAATAAAAACATGATGACAAAAGATGTCACGCTGAATCATGTGATGAACTAAGATTTCTCAATAGAAACATGATGACAAAAGATGTCACACTGAATCATGTGATGAGCTAAGATTTCTCAATAAAAACATGATGACAAAAGATGTCACACTGAATCATGTGATGAGCTAAGATTTCTCAATAAAAACATGATGATAAAAGATGTCACACTGAATCACGTGATGAGCTAAGATTTATTAATAAAAACATGATGACAAAAGATGTCACACTGAATCATGTGATGAACTAAGATTTCTCAATAAAACATGATGACAAAAGATGTCACACTGAATCATGCGATGAGCTAAGATTTCTCAATAAAAACATGATGACAAAAGATGTCACACTGAATCACGTGATGAGCTAAGATTTATTAATAAAAACATGATGACAAAAGATGTCACACTGAATCATGTGATGAGCTAACATGTCTCACTAAAAACGTTGTATAAACTAAGGTGTCTTACTAAATACATGTAAGGAGCTAAGAAGTTTCGCTAAAACATTTGATGAGCTAAGAGGTCTCACTAAAAACATGTGGTTAGCTAACAGGTCTCACTAAAAATATGTGATGAGCTAGGTTATCTCAATAAAACATGTGAGGAGCTCAGCTATCTCCCTAAAACATGTGAAACTAACCTGTCTCACTAACGCATGTGATGAGCTAAGCTGTCTCGCTACAAACGTGAAGGATTAAGCTATCTCACTACAAACGTGAAGGATTAAGCTGTCCCGCTACAAACGTGAAGGATTAAGCTGTCTCGCTACAAACGTGAAGGATTAAGCTGTCTCACTACAAACGTGAAGGATTAAGCTGTCTCACTACAAACGTGAAGGATTAAGCTGTCTCACTACAAACGTGAAGGATTAAGCTGTCTCACTACAAACGTGAAGGATTAAGCTGTCCTGCTACAAACGTGAAGGATTAAGCTGTCTCACTACAAACGTGAAGGATTAAGCTGTCTCACTACAAACGTGAAGGATTAAGCTGTCTCACTACAAACGTGAAGGATTAAACTGTCCTGCTACAAACGTGAAGGATTAAGCTGTCTCACTACAAACGTGAAGGATTAAGCTGTATCACTACAAACGTAAAGGATTAAGCTGTCTCACTACAAACGTGAAGGATTAAGCTGTCTCACTACAAACGTGAATGATTAAGCTGTCTCACTACAAACGTAAAGGATTAAGCTGTCTCACTACAAACGTGAAAGATTAAGCTGTCTCACTACAAACGTGAAGGATTAAGCTGTCTCACTACAAACGTGAAGCCCTGAAATGGAACCCACAGGGTAAGCGGAAAAGAGGCCGCCCAAGAAACACTTGGCGCCGAGAATTGGAGACAGACATCAAGAAAATTGGCCATGAATGGAAGATCCTGGGGAAGCTGGCCCAGGATAGAGATGCCTGGAGGTCTCTCGTAGGTGGCCTATGCCCTTGGAGGAACCGCAGACGCCGATGATGATCGGTGGATGCCCCTCATGGACGAGAAGGCTCAACAACAACAACTACAAACGTGAAGGATTAAGCTGTCTCACACACACAAAATCGTGTGTATTTTATTGGTTTGTTTTAAATCACTAGTTTATTATTTCCTTAGGTTAGAAATTTTTGTTTGTGTTAAAAGCATCTATTGTCAAATATCTGGTCTATGTGTTCCCAGGGTCGTAGAAGTACTATATTCCAATAAAATGCTAACACCAATAAGTGATATTAGATAAGATAAGACCTATCAACGATATAAGATAACATCAAACCAATAAATGATATAAGATAACATAACACTTATAAATAATATAAGATAACAGTACAAATAAATAATATAAGATAACATCGGACCAATAAATGATATAGGATCAAAAAGACCAATGAATGATATGGGATAAAATTGGACCAATAAATGATATAAGGTAACATGGTACTTAAATTTGATATAAAATAACATAGGACCAATAAGTGATATGAGATGAAATAGGACCTATCAATGATATATGATGACACAAGACCAATAAATGATATAAGATAACAGAAGACCAATAAATGGTATAATATAAACTAAACCCAAAGTAAAATAAGATAACATAGCATCAATAAATGAATGGGTGATGAAATGGCTGGGCGATGGAATGGCTGGTTGAAGAAATGATTGGTTGGCGAGATGGCTTGGTGATAAAATGGCTGAGAGATGGAATGTCTTGTTGAAGGAATGGCTTGGTGATCTAATGGCTGGGTGATGGAATGGCTGTGTGATTGAATGGCTGGGTGATGGAATGTATGGGTAATGGAATGGCTGGGTGATGGAATGGCCGGTCGATTGGATGGCTGGGTAATGGAATGGCTGGGTAATGGAATGGCTGGGTAATGTAATGGCTGGGTAATGGAATGATTGGGTGATGGAATGGCTGGGATATTGACTAGCTGGTTGAGGGAATGGCTGGGTAATGGAATGGCTGGGTATTGGATGGCTGGGTGAAGGAATGTCTTGATGATGTAATAACTGGGCGATAGAATGGCTATTTGAAGGAATGGCTCGGTGATGGAATGGCTGGGTGATGGAATGGCTTATTGATGACATGGCTGGAGATGGAATGGTTGGTTGATGGAATGGCTGGGTAACGGAATGGCTGAGTGATTGAATAGGGAATAGCTGGATGGTGGAATGGCTGGTTTATTGAATGGCTGGTTGAAGGGATATATCGCTGATGAAGTGGCTGAGCGATGGAATTGCCGGATTATGGAATGGCTGGTTTATTGAACCGGCTGGTCGAATGTGTAAATGGGTGATGGAATAGCGTGATGATGGAATTGCTTGGTTAAGGATTGGCTGGTCGATGGAATGGATGTGTGATGGAATGGCTAGGTGATGGAATGAATTGTTGATATAATAGGATATTGATGGAATGGCTGGTTGATGGAATGGCTGGGTGATGGAATGGCTGGATGATGAAATGGTTGGGAGAAGCAATGGCTGTCTGATGGAATGATCATATGACTGGTTGATGGAATGTAAAAGCAAAGGAATGGCTGGTTGAAGGAATGGCAAGATGATAAAATGGCTTGGTGATGGAACGGTTGTTTGGTGGAATAACTGGTTTAAGTAATGCCTGGTTGAGGGAATGGCTGGTCGATGGAATGGCTGGTTGAAGTAAAGGCTGTGTGCTGAAATTGCTAGGTGATGGACTGGCTTGGTGATGAAATGGGTAGGCAAAGGAATGGCTCGGTGATGATAAAATGAGTTAGTTTAAGTAAACATTTCTGTTAATTATACATATTTATAGTTTGTTTGTGTTGGGGCATAGCATCTATGCAAATTATAAATTGATTGTAAAAATCTCACACATGTAGCTGTAATTGTACCAACAAGGGACATCGTTCAACAACGGCAAATAATAAGCGACACAATCTTCCTCTCCCCAGAAGTCGTTGGGTTCACCAGCTCGGAACACATCGTGTTTCACATTGAAGGTCAGCTCCGATCCATTATCCGTCCAGATATAGACGCCTTCTTGCATCGTGTCGTCCAGGCCGACCCAAGCCCGCTCGCTGACCAACCCGCGGAGCATCATCAGCTTATCCGTCGTCCTCACCGTCATCAGATAGCCTCCCTTTGACTTGCAGGCATCATCTGCTTCGAAGTAGGTCACATAAGTCTTAAACCATCCAAGACAGGATATCGACTTTCCTGAGGTAAAGATCTGCAATCCTTTAGAGGCGTCACACGCCACCGTGTTGAAGATTTGATTGGCCCATGTCGGTGCGACCTCCGTGTTTAATCCCGGGGTGCATACATTAGAGGCGGGATTAAAGCTGAAGCTGAAACTGTCCGGGTAAAGTCGGAGTGTTTTAATCCCGCACGAGATGACGGAGCTGTCCGTCCAACCTGGATAGTTGTGTGCTGGTTGATAGTAGCATTGTTGACAACGGTAGAATGCGTGGTCAAGCGAACTTGGCATGACAATGTACGTACCTACAGTAATTAGTAAGAAGGTAATTATAATTTTGAAACAGAGTATAACAACCGGATATACTATCGTGTGGATCTTTAAATAAAACACCAAAATAAAAATAATTAAACAAACATTTATAAACAAGCTTTTGATAACCAATGATTGTTGTTAAAAATATCTCAGCACGTCATAACATAGAATTAGCAATGTGTATAGAGCTCCACCACCAGTCAACAGGATGGTGCTAGCTGCACCAAGGCATATGTCGCTAGGAAAAAAAGTCCCGTAAGTAACAATACTATTTTTTTTGAAAATATTAGAAGAATGTCCCCTAATAACGGGATAATAATGAAAAGCACAATACGCTACTTTTAAACCTAGGAGAGGAGGAGGGAGGGGAAAAAGGGGAGGTTGGAGGGGAGGAGGAAGGGAAGGAGGGAGTGAAAGAGGGAAGGGAGGAGGTATTGAGCAGCGAGGTAAAAGGTTTGCGTGGAGGAAGGGGAGGGAATTCAAGATGGAGAGAGCAACGGGCAGGTGGGGGAGTGTGAAGAGGGGGCAATGGGAAGAGGGGAATAGAGAAAGGACTTGGGAGTGGAATAAGGAATTGAAGATAAGGGTGGAAAGAGGGGATGGAAGCGTGGAAAGAAGGGAATTGAAGAGGGGAAATAGGGGATGGAAGCGTGGAAAGAGGGGATGGAAGCGTGGAAAGAAGGGATTGAAGAGGGGAAAGAGGGGATGGAAGCGTTGAAAGATGGGATGGAAGCTTGGAAAGATGGGAGGGAAGCCTGGCAAGAAGGGATTGAAGCGTGGAATGAGGGGATGGAAGTGTGGAAAGAGGGGATGGAAGCGTGGAAAGAAGGGATTGAAGAGGGGAAAGAAGGGATGGAAGCGTTGAAAGATGGGATGGAAGTGTGGAAAGAGGGGATGGAAGCGTGGAAAGAAGGGATTGAAGAGGGGAAAGAGGGGATGGAAGCGTGGAAAGAGGGGATGGAAGCGTGGAAAGAACGGATTGAAGAGGGGAAAGAGGGGATGGAAGCGTTGAAAGATGGGATGGAAGTGTGGAAAGAGGGGATTGAAGCGTGGAAAGAAGGGATGGAAGCGTGGAAAGAGGGGATGGAAGCGTGGAAAGAGGGGATGGAAGCGTGGAAAGGAGGGATTGAAGAGGGGAAAGAGGGGATGGAAGCGTGGACAAGGGGATGGAAGTGTGGAAAGAAGGGATTGAAGAGGGGAAAGAGGGGATGGTGTGGAAAGAGGGGTTTGAAGCGTGGAAAGAAGGGATTGAAGCGTGGAAAGAGGGGATGGAAGCGTGGAAAGAGGGGATGGAAGCGTGGAAAGGAGGGATTGAAGAGGGGAAAGAGGGGATGGAAGCGTGGACAATGGGATGGAAGTGTGGAAAGAAGGGATTGAAGAGGGGAAAGAGGGGATGGAAGCGTTGAAAGATGGGATGGAAGCGTGGAAAGATGGGAGGGAAGCCTGGCAAGAAGGGATGGAAGCGTGGAATGAGGGGATGGAAGTGTGGAAAGAGGTGAGGAAAGCGTGGAAAGAAGGGAAGGAAGCGTGGAAAGATGGGATGGAAGCGTGGAAAGATGGGATGGAAGCGTGAAAAGAAGGGATGGAAGCGTGGAAAGAGGCAATGGAAGAGGTTAAAGAGGACGAATAATGAAAAGAGGAAGAAGAAGAGGTGGAAGAGGGAAGGGAAGAAGAGGAAAAGCGAAGAAGGGAAGGGATAAGGGAGTAGAGAACAGTGCTGAGAAGAGAGAGGATAAGGGAGGGGAGCAAATTGAAATCGGAATTCAAGAATGAAGGAGAGAATGGGAAGATGGATGAATGGGAAGAGGGGGGAATGGGAAGAGGGAATAGGTAAGTGAAGAGAGAAAAGAAGATGGGGGGGGGAATTTCGGGAAGATTCGAAACAGGGGATGCAAGAGGGGAAAGAGGGGATGGTAGAAGGGAAAAGGCAATGTAAAGGGGAAAAAAGGGATTGAAGAGGGGAAAGGAACGGATGAAAGAAGGGAAAGAGGAGACGGAAGAGGGACAAGAGGAAGAATGCGGAAAGAGGAAGAAGAGAGGTGAAAGAAGAAATGGAAGAGGAGGAAAGAGTGTAAGAAGGAAGGGATGAAGTGAAAGAGGGGTGAGAGGAAAGGGAAGAGGAAAACGTGATGAAAAAATGTACACTGCCTAATAGAACATTCAGAGCGTACACTGCCTTATAGTACAATTAGAGCGTACACTGCCTAATAGTATAATTAGAGCGTACACTGCCTAATAGTACAATTAGAGCGTACACTGCGCTCACTGCCTAATAGAACATTTAGAACGTGAAATGCCTAATAGAACATTCAAAGCGTACACTGCCTAATAGAACATTTAGAACGTACACTGCCGAATACCACATTGAGAGCGTACACTGCCTAAAAGAACAATTAGAGCGTACACTGCCTAGTAGAACATTTAGACCGTACACTGCCTGATAGAACATTTAGAGCGTACACTGCCTGATAGAACATTTCGAGCGTACACTGCCTAACAGTACATTTAGAGCGTACACTGCCTGATTGAACATTTACAACGTACACTGCCTGATAGAACATTTAGAGCGTACACTGCATGATAGAACAATTGGAACGTTGTCCGTACTTTATAACATTTAGGACACACGCTGCGTAATATAATAGTGTTTTGCTGAAAATGGTTTACCAATGAAAAAAAACAGCAGTCCATTCCGTAAGACTTGGCCCCGTGACATCTTCAGCAAACTGAGCCACGCCCTCTTAGATGTGTATTCGTGACGTCACTTGGTTTTGGAGACGTTTCAGCTGATTTTCATTTAGTTACGTCTGAGATATACATCCATGACGTCACACGATTGTGTTCCTTTTATATAGTATTCCAACGTCTGCCTGAAGCCAATAAAACTAACATTATACTTAACACGCACCGTTTCCTGGCAGATATAACAACGATGTTCAGACTCGTGGGCCAAAATCTCTATTTATCCACCACCATCCCTGTTATTTAGTTATACGTAACCAGGCAACTGACTTGCTCAATTGTCTGTTGTATAATTTTTTTCTCACGTTTACAGCATGAGAAATTTTTACAATTGCATCGCTTTGCGGCATCCTTTTCGACTCTAATCCAAAATATCACAGTGTTTATGATGCAAGTAAAAATGGTATTGATGATAATTATTTTTTTCGTTCAAAATTTCAATTTTTAAGTAAAACAAAGTTGGGGGTCGATATATTTGGAACGATTGAGGAATGGTGGATCCTTAAAGGAACCACTGCAAGGTTTCCAAACAACCGGACCGTATTTTTTGATGCCATCACGTTAGCAAAGTAGGAACATTTGTGAAACAAAGTAATGAAAAACATGAAAAAAGAACGCAACAAAACAAAACTGGCGTGACGGCAGGAAGCCTTCATCGGCAAAGAAACAGCCGTCAGTAAAAATAGAATTTTAAAATGTGTCACGTTTCAGCTCGATAGGTTGACGGAAAGTGGTTTGAATTAGCTGCCCCTTAGAAAAACGGAATACACTGAGTTTGGGCTTGAGAGTAAAGGATAGGTGGGGCTGAAAACTTTACTGTGTACTTAAATTGAAGCACATAGCAACATCTACACAATTTATCTCAAAACCAAAACACCCACTGAATCAAATTCCTCCACATTTGAAAGAAAAACCAGGAAAAACTCAATTTGGGGGTTCGGGGTAGGGGGTGTGTGGGGGTGAAAATTCGATATAATGAGATGTCAAGTTTCAGCTCGATAGGATAACGGGCAGCCGGTCACTTAGTCTTTCGAAAATTTTGCCACAAACACACGAACAAAGTTAATATAAAACATTTTTTTTTTATGAAGAGTCACAATTGGGTTCCATAAATCAATACATTTACGTGAGAGAATAATTTTTCGTTCGTTTTTGTTTTACAATGAGGGTGGTTATAAAATTTTCAACATGAAAAAAAAAAAACACACACAAAAAAACAAGAAAAACAATAACGTTCTATTTTCAATCAAACCAGTGAAGTTTTGCAGAGCTAAATTTAACCTGGTGACGTAATGCTGTAAACTATTTTAAAACGTTTTTTAAAAAGCATATCTTTTTTTTTAAAAATAATAAAACGACTTATCGTCGTGTGGATTACTTTAAAAAAAAATTGATCCAACTCTTGATGATATCTTGATGTAAACATTTTTTTTTTATAGAAGTACTCTACTGCTGAGATGGAGTTGCCTAGGGTGGTGCACATTATGTAAACATGGCGGCAACAAAATTTTAAAATACTTAATTTCAAGCTCGTCGTGCAAAGAAAGCGAAAAGAAATAATTAGGCATTTTGTATTACAATTTTATAATGAATGTTTTCATCAGTAAATTTCAGCCCATGAAAAATCAATACCATCAAAGAACTTTGTTTTTTTAAAAAAAAAAAATAGAAATACAACTCATTCATTTAGATAAGGAAAAAAAAATTATTTTTTATTCAAAAGTTGCTGGATGAAATATGTTTGATACATGTTGGAGTGTTTTTGAACAACGAGCCTTGGTACGAATCCTTTGCTATCAAGAACACACCCAAACATGGCTTCCTTCTGAACACAACTCAAACAGGGCTACCTTCTGAACACAACTCAAACACGGCTACCTTCTGAACACAACTCAAACACGGCTACCTTCTGATCACACTCAAACATGGCTACCTTCTGTTCACACTCA